GCGGCTATTTTGGCCACTCAGGCAAACCAACACTAAAATAATTACATTTTTATACAAATACCAGGCAGGGCATTGGGCAATTCAAATTAATTCAATTTTCTGCCGGCCATATGTCTGGGAAACGAATTTCAAGATAATTGAATAATCGTAAATTTTAAACCCAATCGTAAAACGCGTGATTTATGACAATGAGCCGTTTTGTCTAGACAGGATAGTAAATCCGACTTAAAACTTATTGTAAGCCTGGGATTGAAACAGGAAAGTAAGTTTTGAGAAACTTTTATTTTATTGCTACCCGTATTCAATTGTCAAAATAACAGCAGTTACAGCAAATCAAAGTGAGGTATTAATTAGGTGATGTCTCTAACCTCGGCTCTATCTATTAATAAATTGAACATTGACAAAGACCGCCAAAACACCTGGCCGACGGCCAGACACGAAAAAACCAGCCAGCACACGTCTCAAACAATCCGATGACGTCCCACAACAAATCTCTGTGTCTACTACCGTTGAATTCACGCTCGAAATAACGACGGACATTTAATAATTCGGTTAGGCGATAATGCAATAATTCAATTTAATTGAACCACATGCCATGCTAAATTTTATCCACAGGTACCTGCAGAAATGTTTCGGATTGTCTATCGGGACTAATTTGCATAATGGCAACACCTTTCACCGATTAAGGTTTTTTGTAAAAAATAAATTTTTATTTATTTTATTTATTTATTATGCTTACCATCGTATTTAACAAATACAAAAACGTTGATCCAGTCAGACATTTTAAAAAGTAAATATATGCATTGTAAAAGTGTTTGTAAAATATATACATGTGACTCATATACTATGTGTATAATAATGTGCCAGATAATCACACCAGTAGCCTGATCCCAAACTAGGGAATTCCCTATACTACCAGTACCAAAGCAACGAAATTCACTCTTGAGCACTACCCAAAACACGCAGACTAGAACCCATGTAGAAAAGTTCATTTCCCAAACTGGAAACATGCTCCAATCGGAACTCGAACCCGGGACCTCATCGCCCAACATCCATAGTGCAAACACCAAGGTCGTCAAACTATTGAATGAAAATCTTGTTTTTTTTTTAAATATATAATCTGAATCTTTGTTTACAAAAATATAGTGAGCCCACTCCCACTCAGCGCTTTAAATGGCAACGTCCCAAGCTTGATTTTCCGACCACAATTATATACTTGTAAATACACACGCTTCAGAAGTCCATCGCTTATTTATGACCTTGACCCATAAAATCAAAAAATATAAGACTGTTACGATGAAGGAAACTTTTGAATGCCATGAAATAGTTCCCATTTAATTTAGGAATAGCAAAAATTTAAACAATAAATTAGAAGTGGAATACCACTTTAAATGTAGATGTATCCCACTTATATATTAGCTTCTTCATATAAATTCCATGTCTGAAATCACCAGGTCCCTCGAGTTCAATAATCTAACAACCCCACAGACAAGACATTAGTTATAAAAAAATAATTGGTTTATTATTAGCAAGTATCGATTAACTAAACAGACGTAGTAGAACCCAGACACTTAATATAATGTGTTTAAGAGGCATATATTTATTACCATGTAAAACATAAAATCATGTGCTAACAGACCCTGTTTTCATGGTTTAATTTTTATTAGCTTTTATACACAATTCGTTCCAACTAAAACAAATGACTATAATAATAATGATTTGCTGTTAAATTGGCACCTTTATTTTCTTTACTGGAATCTAAAACATATATTGTTACGTTAAGTCTTGTCCCGCGTTTATAAAATTACCCTAACAGCTACTAAAAATTAATATTGCGTATATCTCATTACTACTTGGAACATTGCAAGGAAAATGGCCACTTAATATGCATCGAAATTGAGCATTGAATATACTATAACACGACTTCTTGAAACATAAGCTTTATAATTTTTTTCCAAATTTAAGTGAAAGTAGTAGGGAAACGATGAGGCGTGGTCCGCGATATGTCTATGCTCCGTCCTCGCGTGGCACTCTTCTGCAGACTGCGTCACGCTTCGGGCGCCGCTGTGTGTGCGCTTACGAATCTCGATACTGTGTTAATATAGTGTTGAGTCTTTGCTGTGTTGATTCACATCAAAAGATTTCTGCGTTTCTTTAATAATACAGCTAAATAAACAGAATAGGTCCGGACGTAATATAAAATTGCTTTACCCACGTTGGACATTAGGGTGTCACCACATTTATTGATAAGTAATCGCTATAAACCGATCAAAAACAATCTTTAAGTCCACGTAGTAAAAGCAAAAAAGACGTTGCAAATTTCGTTTCCGCTAATACCGCTGACGCGCACCACACAACTTCCTTTTCGGTTATATTCCGTGGACTTTTTCTGACCGGCTTAGTGCGATTCTGTGTCGGTAAGTGTAGTGACACCCTTAGACAACTCATCGGGGAGGCAACGGGGTTGGGGAAAAGGGAAACCGATCAAGTGCAAGTTTACACCGTGCGGCCGACTTATTCACTTGGCCACTTAAGTAGATGCAAAGTAATATGCTTACGTCACTATTGATGACTGATGTCCTTAGATTGCTTTTGTAATAAAACAAATTAATTTACTAATAAAAACAGTCAATTTAAGAAACTCTTTTTTCAAATCACAGAGCATTTTGTACTGAATTTTCCACAATACATTAAACAATACAAACTTTGACAAGTAATATTTTTGACTTCACTTTTAGGCAAAGACAAATTTGTAAGCAAAACGTTTGAATTAATTATCTGAAAATCATTTTGTTAATAACGATATACTCCGTTAACATTATACATTTGCATTTAAAGTGTCACCGATAAAATATTACCCTGAAAATCCCAACGTGTATTTGGATTACTTCCAGAACCCAGCGTTACTCAGAAATTATGATGCATGCGTAGGTTAGTTTAAAATAAATTAGATAAAAAGAAACTCACACCGCTCACAGGTGTGGAATTTTCACGAACACGGTATCCAATGGTTTGCACAATAAGCGCTGTATAAGGATTTGCTTACCAGTAGGACCGATTTGGGACTTAACTTTCTAAATTGGTTCTAGTCTGGGTGCACCGGAACTCATAGCACAGGGCATTCCTTAGTTTAAGACCGAATAATTGGATGTAGTTGTAAAAAAAAACATAAGACAAAACATACTATAGGAAATGAAACTATTTTTTCGGATCTATATCGCGTATATATTTGTTTTTCATAGTGAAAGATAAGGTGGTTTGCATTAATGTTAGACATAACTGATTGTTGACTTTACCATCTCAGTCAGCCGTGACTATGCGCCTGTAAAGGACTCGAAACATTAGTTTGTTTGAAAAAACAAATATGCGCGATTTACATCCGAAAATGTAGTTTCAATTTCTATGTGTAACAATCGCAAAAACCTTTGAACTCGATATCATGATATCATTTTATTGTGATTATTTTAGTTAATAGACGTTACACATTACTTTCTTACTTGCGTAAAGCATCATAAAACACATAGTAAAACTATAGTAATTGTATTCCGTTCATGTAAACTATATGGAACTCAATAACACTTCAACGCTAAACAAAATTGCGTTTTATTAACCGACTTCAAAAAAAGGAGGAGGCTCTCAATTCAACTGTATGTGTTTTTGTTTTTTTGTATTGAAGAAGATTCCTTTTTATAAATAGCGCCTAAATTTTATTATAAGGAGCAATTATTTGAATGGTTGATTCTGCTATTCTCTAATTCAAGGCGGTTTTCTCTCTCAATAAATATATGTACTTTGAGTAGTGAGAACCGATTTTTGTAATATCCTGTGTCAAGTTCCGTATAGTGGCGAACTAGGGGATGAATCCGTGTTTGCGTACTTTCTGGTAACCGATTTCAAAAAAAACTTGGTAAATAGATGTAATTCCACGTACTTTTCAGGTCGGTTTTTTTGGTACTCTGTACTGAGATTATTCCAGTATTATTTCAGAAGAACATGAAATCCGATTGAAAACTACTTATCAGCTGATCTAAATTGTTTATCACGTGCCGATCTCATTACCGCCGTTTGTAATTTGGAATAAATTTGCCCCAGACGCATTCCTTACGACAATATGGGGGAAAAAATTTCAAAGCAATTTGAACTGCCTGAAAATATGGTTTCAAAATGTTTCTCCCTACAGGTCTGCTCGAAAGTGCAAATTCCGCGGCAATATTTCTGTGATACGCAAGAATTTAAAAATTCGTTGCACGCAACTTGGTCGAAAGTTGAAACACCAGGGCGCAAAGAATAATATCCCTATCTTAAGAATTTATTATTTGGATTTTCGTATGTATGATAATTTTTATATATCATAATGTATTTTAACTACAATTTAGCAAACCTGTACAAAGATTCAATAAACGTTCAAAGCTGTGCTTGAGTAATTTTCTATGTCATGAGTATCGAGATAATAATGACTGACTTTAATAACTTTACACATTTATAATGTTTCATATTCAATGCAACTCCAAATAGCCTTGAGCACAATTTATAGCTAGTTTAATCGGTTTTGTCTGTTCAGTCTGTGCTATTACATTTGCGAAAGTCGAAATGTTGTCTAACGGTTGGGCACGGCACCACTACATCACGCAACCGCGACACAGGCATCCACCCTGAACTTAGGTTTTATCTAGTACAAGTCGTATAGCCTATGACTGGTGTCAATCGTGTCTCAGTTATTTTATTGTAAATAGATACGCAATCGTTTGATTAGGTTACCCGAAAAAGTATTTTGGTTTAAATATAAAATAATTAGCATATTATTGGTAGCATGACAAAGCAACACACGTGGCTTGCGAGTCTAAGCGCATACGACTCCCGTTGTATGCGCAGTGCGTAGCTGAATGCGTAGCAATAGTTTATGTCGCGTGTCTGCGGCTCGGCGGCGGCAGCGGTACTCGGCACGTCACAGGGTGAGATCGCGCTGAAGCGAAGGTTGCGCCCGTGACCGCGCCCGCCCGCGCCGCCACACCACGGCCCGGCGCGCAGTATTGCTCCACGCTCGCTGCTCCTCGGACCTCAATCCACGTGCTACACCCGGAGGTCACCAGGACCGGCCCGCGACTCTACGCGCGCCCAGTGAAGTGATGTGCTCGCATTGTTGATGATGCCCAAACGGCGAGTGTGTGTAGTGAAAGTGTGCGCGAGAGGAGGTGACCGGCAGCGGCCCCCGCGACCGTAGCCACTATGTGGACCCTGCTGCTGCACTTGCTGGCCCTTCTCGCGCTCGGCGGCGGGGCCACCTTTTCACCTAATAAGGAGCTGCTTGAATGTGCAAGGTTCGTTCATATTTTATCGACATCACAATGTCAGGAGACAATCAACAACAGGATGTTAAAACTATGTAAGTAAATCTTGATAAATTTGATGGGAAAATTGCCTTTGAAATAAAAAAAAGTGTGTATAATTACGCCAATCCTTCTGGGACCTCGAATGAGCTACAAAAATAATTTGGATGGGCACGCGAGTCACGGTCGTTTGCTCATTGCAAATACGTTAGCTAAAATTTGTGAGCGTATTTTAACACTTCATAATTAATGTTACTATAATTAATACTTCATAACTCTACAAATGATGTATTTGATAAAATAATATATATTTTATTAAAGCTGTAGAAATCAGTGGTATAGGTACATAACTAATATTGCAGCCAAGGAAATGTTGCTGTTAAGAATTTATCGACATATTCATTTATAGAGTTTGCAAAGATAAGGATTTTCTCGATCGCTTAACAATGTTGCTATCATTTATTAATGAACAAACCAGAATCCTGATGATGTATAGAAAAAATACAATATATTTATAAAACACACCACTAGATGCGAAATCAATGTAAGAACGTTATTGGCCTGTGACGCGCCGGTGTGCTATATACTGTAGTTACACTATAGCAAACGAAAAACCCCAATACTGGCAAAAACACTATGTTAAGACACTGTACACTCCTGATGGCCTAAATTATTTTGACACAAACCAGCACAACTACGAAATTCCGCGATCATCCCTGACATGGTTTTCAATTTAATTTAAATTGACAACTATGACTTCAAAGAAATTCAAGTAATTATGTACATCACGGTTCTGTGAATCATTTGCAATAGCATGCTACGGTGACCTAATTTAAGATTAAGATTTAATTATATTAAAATATTAGCAGAAAAGATTAGTGTAATAAAATAGCAGTGTAGTTGGTAATCATATTTTAAAATCACAGTAAATATTTATATAGATATTGTATCGATCAAAATTTCGATTGCAAGCGCTAGTTTTGATTGGGGATCATGAGATAAAATATTACCCAACTTTTTTTATAGACCCTGTATAAAGTAACTAGTAATTTCTACCTGCTTCTTAGACAAAATCTAATATGTCTATGAAAATATCTCGCAAAGTTTCTCGTTTTGAGGTGACTATGAATTTTTAATTGCGTTCGATGCATTACCACTTCCACTACCGACAAGGGACTATCTGTAATCGGGAACCATATGATATTAATTGAGTGGAATTTACAATAAAATTTACGCAAGGCGAACAATTTACTTTGATTACAATCAACAATATAGACCATTTCCCACTTAAAACATTTGAAAAAAGAATAATGCACAGAACAACGAACAAGGGGTTTCATTGGCATCGTCGATAAAAGTCTTGAAACCTGTGGGTGCTGACCTCAATTAAGGTCCTTCAAGTAAATTCCTTGAAATTTATTTACATTTGAGCTATCTTTTTTTTTATATTTTATATAAAATGTGACAATTCGTTTCAAAGATCAGGTAGGCAGTGTGGATGTAAATATCTTCTTCTAGATCGAGTAAAATTGAAAAATAATGCATTGCTTGTTTGCTAGAAAACTTAGAACTAAATGTAAAAGTGCAGTTATAGCCTTCAATTTAGATTATTTTCGACTAATTTAGCTACTTTCTTTTGTTTTCTTTATATGCATAATAATCTAAGTCCATGCCAAATTGTAAATTTCTAAGTCTACTAGAAATGATCTAGAGTTTTAATTACCATATTTTTTATTAGTGTTATCACGACGATTATGAGGCGCTTTACGACATATTGATTTTGAAATACACAAAGTCAAAAACAGTTGGAAATATAACATACGGTCAATTCACCTTTTCTTTTCTAAACGTTGCTTGACACAGTACCTTGTCTAAATTTCGTTGCGTATTCATGCCAAATCGATAAGTGCCCTTGTCTATCATCATGACCAGACAAACAAACATCGTTAATATTAATACAAATATAATTTTAAGATAAAGTAGGTTATTTCTTACTGATAGAATGATATGGACTACTTTTTATTAGCTTGATATTTTAACAACGACTACAATTTTACATCACTTTTTTTACATTCACATTAAAGTAAGTAAAATTTTGACTCAACATTCAATAAAATTTTGGTTGTTACATACATTTGTGATTTCTTACTACATTGTAATAAATAACATTATACATATGAAGGAAATATTATGCAAACATGCGTGAAACGGGTGTCTTTGGAAAGTAGAGCTGTTTTCGATTCCGAAGCTTGTAAGTAACTACAATTGAACTAATCGGCCAGTGCCCCAACAAACATAAACACTCTTGCGTCAACGAAATATGAGCTACAACTGTTTACTTACCTTAGAATAGCTACAAAGTATTCGAAAGCTGTACCTGCCAAAGGTAACATTTGAACGTAAACATTGCAGTGATTTCAAGATGACTTGAATCGTATGGGAGGACGCTAATGACCCGCAGACAACAATAGCTGAGCCAGAATTAACCGGGTTGTTAATCAGGCTACTATTTGCGTCACTGGGTGCGAATATAACCCGGCCGGTTACTGCGACAACCGAAATAAATCCTTGTTCTGAATACTTCGGGTTGCAGGCGATTTACGTCTGTCGTGCCGGGCGATCTTTGTCGCAAACGGCGTAACAGGGTTGCCATGCATCACTTTGCCTAATAGTGTTATAAATTTATTGAAAACATTATAGCATCCTGGTATCCGCGTACGACAAAACGTTCAATTATGCAATGTCCGTAACGGAATACAATACAATGTAGACTTCCAAATAGCGATTGACTCTAGTTAAGAAATACAATGCAATAATACACTTTTTAGATTTCTTTTTTATAATACCAAGTGATGGGACGAACAAGTCGTGCGCCTGGCTCAGAGCTTTAAATCGCAAAGATCTTAGAGGCACTCCCACTGCGTCCGTTACCCTGAGACATGAGACAAGTTGACAAGTCCCATGCACTTGTAATTTTACCTTACCCTTCCAAACAGGAACGCAGTAGTACTCATGTAAGCAAATAATAAAAGACTAAAGAGAGGAAGATGTATAATACAAAAAGTACAAAAAAAAATTAATTTGAAAATAATACGTGAGGTAATGTTACCGCCTGGCGGCAGAAACTTCTTTCTTCTTCTTTTAAACAATCCTCGGAGACAAGAAAAATTTACCAATAATAATAATAGGCAGAAGATGTAATAAATGATTTTGGAAACGAATCTAATACTAACATCATATCTTAGTAATGAAATAAAATTTAATATTTGTAATTTAACGACACAACAGTTTTCAATGTTGATAGTTGCTACGGAGGTTTCGGTTTTGATTCCCGGTATGACCAATTTGGAAATGAATTTTTCTAATTCTCTGATCCTGGTCTGGGGGTCTGGAAAGTACTCATAGTACAAAGAATTCCTTGAATTTAGACCAAGTAATTGGTATGGCTATCTGGCACTTTGTTATTCTCATAACAATAGTTCTTTTTTTGTTAGCGTGCGATAGCCTTTGCGACTTTCACGACTTGTCTTGCATATAAAGAATTGAGTAAGAAATATAAATTACAACAACCGTTCAGAATAACTAATTTTCAGCATACATGTTACGTAGGTTAAACTTGTGGCTACCAAATGGCATCATTGTTAACAAAAACCAATATATTGTTTCTTTGTTAGTTGGTCATAATGCAAATAACATACTATTATCATATTCTTCCTATATTAGCGGTTATGATCGTGATAAGTTGAGTTTCCTTATATACAGACTTTAATAAAAATATTTTTTCTCAAACATGCAAGGAAATATAGGAAAGTCCGTGTGACTTGTTCCCGGTCAAGGCCTGCAGAGTAAGTATGAAAATCCATGTCCACTTATTCAAACTTTTAAATCTATCTACTAATCTAATGAAGTATGTAGACAGGCAAAAGAAAAACTCATACAGCCAACTGCCCAGCTTTTATAGTTGCAAGAATACCTACCTGTATCGCTTTTTAAAAATTATCTCAGTACAAAGTACTAAAAAAACCGACCTTAAAAGTACATGGATTTACATAATAATTACCAAATTTTATTGAAATCAGTTATCGGAAAGTGCGCAAACCCGGATTCATCCCCTAGTTCGCCACTATACGGGACTTGACACTATATAATAAAAGTCGATTGTCACTACTCAAAGTATAATGAGAGAGAAAAACGCCTTGAATTAGAGAATAGCAAAATCAACCATTAAAATGCTCCTTACATTGACTTACAAATAAATGGACGACGATTCTAATACAAAAACCACGAAAAAAATGTCCCAAGTCAACCTATTTAAACGTAGTGACATGTAGAGGAATATGAAAAAGCTAAAACGTTGAATTTAAATTATAATGTCATCGCAGTACTGTCTAATTTTGCTTGCTTCGCTGTCAGTCGAACAAACGAAAACTAAAGGGTGAATGACGCTCTGTATACGATTTTAACGCCCTATAAGTTCGGACACTTTTAGGGCGGACCCGACGTCCATATAATTGTAAGTCAATGGCTCCTTATAATAAAATTTTGGCGCTATTTATTAAAATGAAACTTCGTTCGTGAACAGCCACCCTTAGAGGTAAGTGATTTTCTTCAAAATTAAATGGGACCACTATGGAGGTACCCTCTTTCCAGCAAAAAAAAGAATCATCAAAATCGATTCACAAATACCGGAGTTATCGCGTAACATACATACAAAAAAAACATACAGTCGAATTGTGAACCTACTCGTTTTTTTGAAGTCGGTTAAAAAAGAAAATGGTGGTAACGTTTAAACTAAAGTGTTTTGGTGTTCTTTTGTTTTTTCGTCTTTTTTGTATTTTGGTCAAGAACATAAGTGCTAGTGAGACGAGCGATACCGAAAGTACAGTAATAGATACACATCCAAATACATCATCAGAAATTCAGCAGACTACTATTAATGTGTCTGGAAACACAATAACATTTTCTTTTAGCAATTGTCCTAACACGTCACA